ATAAAAAAACATGACATGCATTCTCTTTTTTTGTGTATTGTTGCACATTTTCCCCTGCCCCTCCCCCAACCTACCTCTCTATACATCCCTCACTCCAGATTGTTGTCATACATATAATGCATAATCTTATATTTTTTGGGACAGATCTTCCCCTCCTTTGTTTTAATGAGGTGTTTGTTATCTATTCACTCTTTCCCCATTCCCTTTCCAACTCCTCATATATGTCCTATTTTATAACAGAGGTGCCATGCAGGATTTGTCCTTCTGTGACTGAGATACTTCATTTAGCATAATGTCCTCAAGGCTTCCTCAAGTTGTGTAATGTTTACTATTTCATTATTTTTCAAGGCTGTGTAGAATTCCATTGTGTGGATGTACCATTGTTTTTCCATCCATGTCAGTATTTCAGCTGTGCTGCAAACTCAAAGATGAAAATTCTCTGGTATTTTAAATCTGCCTCCCAAAGACCTTTTGAAGAGTTGGCTATGACAACGAGTTTTATGAGTCAGTTTCTATAAGTGAGTTGTATCGTTTGCATAGCGTAGGTTGTTGAAGGGTCTTCCTCCAATCCCAACACCACATTCTTGCTCTTATAGTCAAACTTCTTGAATTATTTGCATAGAGTAAATGTTGGCTATGTAACAATCTTAGAAAACGTCAAAAGTATGTGTATCTTCCTATTCATTCCACTTCCTATGACTGTTTCTGAAGTGCTCTGCAACATATCTTGTTAAGTAAGAAAGCGTTTTAGAGGTGAGTAGGGTGGAGCTCTATGGATACTCTGGTGGCCTAGTGGTAAGAAGCTGTGCTGCAATCCTAAAGGCACACAGTTCAAATCCACAGTTCTATCCACGTGATAGAAAGATGGGTAATCTCCTCCCATATGATTAACTGTCTCTGAAAACCCACTGGCGGGTCAGCTGTGAATCAGTTCTGCCTCAACTGCATGTAACAACAACATTTGGGAGTACTGATTTCTATTGATGTTATCCTGGACAAGTTACTTAGCATTCCTTTTGTGCTTCCAGTTTTAATGAAGCACAGTGATAGGCATTGATATGTGTATGTTTAAATGTTACGGTTTTAGATAATTCAGCACATGATTATACTGATGAAACTTCTTTCATGGTCCAGATAATTAAATACTCATCATTAAAAACTTTATCCTTATGCCCCTTTCCTTTTTTCCCCCTTGTTTTATTAAAAAATATTTTCCCATGCTTTTCTTCATTGACATAGTTACATACAATCATTCCCATACATTGTATTTTTTATTAAATTTTATTAATGTTAGGGAGCTCTGGTGGCCTAGTGGCAAGACACTGCACTGCAATCCCAGAGGTATGCGGTTCAAATCCACCAGATGCTCTGCTGCAGGAGGGGGCAATCTCCTACTGTACCAGTCAGATCCGATTTGACGGTACACGTAAAAATAATACAATAAGAATAAAAAATATTTATTAATGTTAATGAATATTTACAGAAATTTTGGGTTTCCATTCATTGATTGTTGCACTATTTTCTCTAGCCTGCCCCCCAATTACATTGTCTTTTATAACACTAATTCTATTTCCTTTACATCTTCCCTCCACCCACCAAATGACACAGCACTGTGATTTTTGCCCCTACCCATCCTAACCTCTCTGCTCCCTTTCTTTACCCCCTTGGGTCACCAAAACCAGCACATAACAACAACAGCAATAGTAAAAGGACTTGATAATCTTTAAAAAAGATTTTCTAGTTATCCTTCTAATTTTTTGTTTTTACTATTTATCCTTCTATTTTTTTAAACGTTTTATCCTTCTATCCTATTTTTATGATAATGGTCTTATACAGTATTTTGTTTATCAAATTTCTAACTGATGTATTTGTTTGAAAAGACTGGATTTTGAGGAAGAAAAAATAACGCCGAGAAAAGTATGGGATAGAAAATAAATACAAATATAAGCTGATTTGACAATGCTTTATTAACCACACTAAGTGGTGCAGAACAATGCCATTAAAAACAGCGTGGCAAAGCTTCAAAGATGGCTGAAGATGTCAGACTCTGGTTATTGGAATTTATGCTGCAGTCCTTGTTTTTTGAAGGATCACAGGGTGCGTGGGCATAGTCCATGCTTTAATCAGATTTGAACAGAAGAATGGCCCGTTGGCCCAGGTAGAAGTAGATGAAGTGCTTATCTTTGTGTGTCACATAGCTACCAAAGTTTTTCCCCACGATGCAATGCCAGGTTGTGTTGTACTTCCTGTCAAACTCTTTCTTGATGTAAGCTGCAATCTTTTTCTCTACTCTGTACTTCTCTATTGCCTGGATCGCGCACTCCACGGAAGCTTGTTGCATTTCTTCCGACATGTCCACGATTTTGATCACTACCTTCCTGTCACTCATGGTTACTGTGGAGAAGGGACAAAGCACTGTACCACTGTGGCAGGGTTTCCTGGTTAAAGGGGTTATTAGAGCAACCCAAGACCCGCCTTACCTGCCCCAGCTCCCGAAGCCTTGGCACATCTAAGTTGCCGCACACCAGCAGCTGTTGCCTAGTCACTTACGCCCCTTTGTTACTTAACGTTCTATAAGATAGCATCATCTCTGTACAGTCCACATAGCTTCTGCACTTTTGGTTCCAACTCTTGGTGATGTCATTCACAACAGAACAGAGCGGAACATTATGTGGCCCCTCCCATCTTCATGATCAGTTTAATTTTTGAGTCTGTTTATTTGCAACTCTTGCATCAATCCATCTCATTGAATGTTTCCCTCATTTTTGTTGGCCCTCTACTTAGCAAATATGATATCCTTTTCTAGGAATTGGTCTTTCCTGAATGCATGTCCAAAGGAAACAAACTGAGTCTTTTAGAAAGACTATCCTGGCTTTTTTTTTTTCTGAAACCCAATTTGTTCATTCTTTAAGAAACTTCATTAACAGCAAACTTTGAACATACACTGATTATTTTGTTTTCTCTTTTCACTACCCAACTTTCTCATGCATTTGAAGTCATTAAAAAAAAACAAATAGTACCTTGTGAATTAGAACATCTTCTTGATTTTACAATAGGGAGCTTTGATGGCTTAGTCCTAGGAGCTGAGTTGCCATTTCAATAAGGCACATGTTTCAAATCCACCAGTTACTCCACTGGAGAAAGATGGACAGTCTCCTCCCAGGTGATTTACTGCCTCTGAAAACCTTCTGAAGGGTTAGCTATGAGTTACTTCCAACCCTATTGTATACAACAACAGCAACAACAACAGTGTAATACAAATTAAAGAATAAGGATATGTATGCAGGTCCTAGATACATGTTATCCCTTACTCCATTTTATACTGTCTGTATAGCTAGGAAAAAATAAAGATCTGACTGAATATATCTCCTCCCCCAATAAATTAAATCTTCCCTCATTATTTAAATTTAAAAAATTAAATACTAAGGTCAAATCCTAACATAAATTTGTTAAACAAGAGCAGTGTGAGTCAGAAAGTTTAAACAATTCAGAGAGAGGATGGTATAGACATAGGACACAGTGTTGGTTGACAGCTTAGCAGAGAAGAGTGTTCTTCACTGAGGGAATTAATTGCTGGTCCTCAGACCTCAGATCCATATTCTTAGGAGACACCAGGGTCAATTGACCTAATGTGGTTGATCCAGATATGTTATTCATGCTACTTTGGTCTTAAAAACGTCAATCTACTTGCTACTGGGGTTTAAAAACCTGTAAGTGACTCTTTACAGTTCAACTATTTGTCTCTCGCCATCCAGAACAATGAGGAGTATGAAAACACAAAATCTAAGATTCATAAAAAAAAAATCAGTCCAAAGGGTTAATGGACCATATAAATTGAGACCAGAATTAGATAGGGCCCATCTGGGCCCATTATTAAATGGTAGGTTCTAGATTGAGTTGTAGAAAAATGTGGAATAAAGTGCAAAACTGTACAACTGTGAGGCCTGCTGTGCTGATAGACATTTATGAAGCTCCTAAGGCTATGGTCCTTTGAGCCTGGAACCTAACTCGTTCTTGGGGTTCAACTTTTGACCAAACAATAAAATGAGTTTATAAAGTGAACATTATCACCAGGAAGGTACTCTTTTATCAGAACAAAAGCAAGAAAGCAGCATGTACCCAGAGAGAAAGCTAAGAAGACAGGAAGGAGTGAGATATAAGGATGAATAGAAATGAGAATCACAGGGAAGAAGTAAGAAGAGTGCTGTTACAGTTTGGGGACCATAATTAAAATCTTATAACAAAATGTGTATAAATGTTTGACTGGAAAAACCATTTCCTCTGAGACTTCCACTCACTAAAATCTTAAAATGAAAATGTTTTAGTTTAGGTTTGTTTGTTGTTGTTGTTGTTTTTTAAACTTATTTTTCCATAAATATGGAAGGAACATGGGTACACAGATGGATCAATGGTGGAAATCAAAGAGGCCTAGGCATATCTTTTTGTGTGTGTGTGTGTGTGAGTGTACCGTCAAATCAGATGTGACTGGTACAGGAGGAGATTGTCCCTCCTTCCCCGGCAGAGCATCTGGTGGATTTGAACCATGAGCCTCTGGGATTGTAGTTGCAGCTCCTTGCCACTAGGCCACCAGAGCTCCCCAAGCATATCTTTAGAGCTGAAATGAAGAGATGGAGATGTTAAAATTCAGCCATTATAAGTGGTTTGTGATTGGCAGCTAACCCAAAGATTAGCAGTTTGAACACTCAGTGTTTCTGTGGAAGAAAGGCATGCAAATTGCTCTCCTAAAGGTTATAGTAAAAAAAGATCCTATGGAGGGCTAGTTAGTTTTTGTAATATGTACAGATGCCAGTCTAGAGACTAATGTGCACCTAATCCAGGCAATGAATTACTTGCTATACATCAGAGATCTGGACAAAGACTAAGGATGATAAGAAGAATAGATGCCTTTGACTTGTGGTGTTAAAGAAGGGTCTTGGACATAACATGGACTCCCAAGAAAACAAATAGGTCTGTCTTGGAGAGGGTGGAACGGAGGCAAGGATTATTTTTAATTTTTTTTATTATAAATTTTAATGAAAGATTACAGAGACTTTGGATCTGCATTCATTCATTGTTAAACTTTTTTCTCTGCCCACCCCTCTCCCCAGTTCATTATTCTCTTTGAAAAGTAAAAGAAAAATTCTTTCATTGTTAGCAATTCTCCCCCTGAGCCCACTCCACTATGCAGCCTTCGATCTGGACTCCTTTCATGGCAATAATACCTAATCATATATCCCTTTTAAACAGTTCTCTCCCTCATTTCTTTCAGTCCACTATACACAATTTATCCCATCTTTCTCAGTCTCCCCTCAACCCCGATATCAGGCCCATTTTACAACAGTGGCATTATTTGTCTTTTTGTCACTGAAATATTTCATTCAGCATAATGTCCTTCAGGGTCATCCATTTTGAATAATATTTCATGAGTTCCTTGTTTTTCAATGCAGCATAGTATTCTGTTGTGTGAATATGCTACAGCTTCTCTATCCATTTGTTTGTTAATGGTCACTTAGGTTGTTTCCAACTCTTTGCTATTGTGAACAAAGCCGTGATAAACATAAGTGTGCATATATCTGCTTGGGTGGCAGTTATGGTTTCTTTGGTGTACATTCCCAGCAGTGGAATTGCTGGGTCAAATGGTATTTCTATGACCAATTGGGATTCATAACAGGTATATAAGGATGGTTCAACATAAGAAAAACAATTAACATAATTCATCACATAAACAAAGCAAAGAAGAAGAACCACATGATCCTATCAATGGATGCAGAAAAGGTCTTTGACAAAATCCAACACCCTTTCCTCATTAAAACAATCAACAAAATAGGACTAGAGGAGAATTTCTTCAACATAATAAAAAGTGTATACGCAAACCCAAGAGCCAACACTGTTCTGAATAGAGAGAGATTAAAGGCATTCCCTTTAAGAACAGGAACTAGGCAAGGATGCCCACTATCACCTCTCTTATTTAGTATTGTATTGGAAATCTTAGCGATAGCAATAAGACAAGAGAAGGAAATAAGAGGTATCCAAATTGGCAAAGAGGAGGTAAAATTAGCTCCATATGCAGATGATATACTATACTTTAAAAACCCTAAAGACTCAGCAAGACATAGTTGACCAATTCAGAAAAGTGGCAGGATACAAGATCAATATACAAAAATCAGTTGACTTTCTTTACAGTAACAAATAATATGGAGGCATGGATTTTGAAGCTCTGTCTCACATGCTTTGGGCAAGTAGCCAGGAGAGACTGGTCCTTGGAGAAGGACATCATGCTGGGAAGGTTGGAGGGACAGTGCAGGAGAGGAAGACCCTGGATGAGATGGATTGATATAATAACTGGTGCAATGGGGGGGGGGTAGGTGTGTCAGAATAGGTGAGACTTGCTCAGGACAGGGCAGGCTTCAGAGCTGTTGTACATAGGGTCACTACGAATCATAGATGGTTCAGTGGTACATAACAACAACAACCACAAGGTCACCATGAGTCAGGGGCTATACTCAGCAGCAACTAACACAACATATATGAAAGAAATTTGTATATTAGGAAGAGGGTGGAAATTCATGTGAAGATCTTACATAATGAGAAAGCTGAGGAAGCATATCAATGTTTGCCCCCCAAACTGAGCATATTTTGATGTTTGGGGAGTAACAATTGGTCCCAGACAACCTGTGATTTCATGTCCATCACATCATATAGGTGGTCCAGAGTTATATTATGTGCAGCTTGGACATGACTTTTCATCATCCTAAAGGACCTATTAAGGAGCTCTGGTGGCCTAGTGCTAAGGAGCGGTGCTGTCAAGCCAAGAGCAGGATCCACTAGCTTCTCCATGGGAGAAGGATGAACAATCATCACCTATGTGATTTCCAGCCTCTGAAAATCCTGAAGAGGGTCAGCAATGAATCGGTTCCGGCTCTACAGTACATAATAACAACAATAAAATAGCTATTTGGAACACCGAAGGCATAGTTCATAACGTGTCAAGCTGATCATCAAAAGTTCTTTGGTTTGACTCTACCAGCTCAAAGTGGATCAAGGACCTTTTACCAAAACCAAGGACTATAAACTTTATTAGAGAAAAGCTTGGAAGTACCCTAGAAGCCCTAATCTACAACAAAGACAGTCTTCTAAGCGTCCTGAAAAACCTACAACCAGGAGAGGATAAAATAGATGAAAGGGTCTTTCTAAGAATCAAATCCCTTTGCACATTCAAAATTTTTTCCAACAGGGTAAAGGGAAGCCAAAGTCTTGGGAAAAATATTTGGTAATAATATATCTAATAAGGGATTTTTATCTAGAATTTATAAATACTTGAGCACCACAATAATGTAATGGTAAACAAACCTATTGAAAAATGAAGTGTCTATACACTTCACCAAAGAA